GCGAGTAGGGAACATGAATTGCCGACCTTGTGGTTCAAACAGACTTTGTAGTCCAGCGCATTAATCCACAGTGTCATACCAGGACTCCAGTCTAGATTGGTGTCTGAAATTTTCTTTGATTTTTGTAACACAGTCTAAACTAAGGATCACTTGACTTTTGGAGGAAAATTTTTATCCAAAGAAACCAGCTTCAAAATACACTTTATGATGCATAATGAAGAGATCTAAGAAACATCCTAAAAAAAACAAAGTTAGATCAATTGTATAGAATCATGGAACTGATAGGTCCTTTTAGAATCCACTTTCTTATTTTAGGGATCAGGCTACTAGTTCAGGCTACTAGCTCCTTAGACACTAGACTCAAAATTGCCTACATCATAGTCCAGTATCGCATTGTCTTCATCACTCAGAGTTAGCATAGCAAGACTCAGGAACAGAACTCGCTAGGGATCCAAGTGGGAGACCAGGGTGGTCTTGGAAATCAACTGTCAGGCATAGAGATCATCCACCAAGAGGAAATCTAATCTCAGATGTGACAGTAAGGTGATCTTTGTGTTGACTTCTCTTAAGCAGCCTTCAAGGAGTCATGATTCAGTTTCAGAGATAGGGAAAAATTTATATCAACAATCTTAAGGAAAAGAAACCATGTTTAACCACAATTTGTTAAGCTACTTATGTGAGAGGCCATGAAATCAGGCTAAAAGAGCCTCAGTAGATGTCTGCTCAGCCTGAGATGTTATCACCCTGATAATCCACTAGCTGTATCTCATGAAACTGCTCTCTGCTTCTGCTGTATTTTGAGTAGGGCTTCGAGAAGTATCAGATTCCTCCCCAAAGACCATGTCAGAGGAAGAATACTTTCAGAAGCCTGTCTCACTTTCTCTTTGAGGGCCTCTCACTAATCACTGACCACCAATTACTGGATTTGAATGTGGAATGGTAAAATCCACTTGTTTGCATCTGTTGTTGTTAGGTGGCATCAAGTCAGTACCAACTCAGTGACTCTATGCACAACAGAACAAAACACTTCCCAGTCCTGGGCCATCCTCACAATCTTGCTATGCCTGAGCCCATTTGCTGCTGCCATTATGCCTGCCCATCTTGAGAAGGGTCTTCCTCTTTTACTCCCACCTTCCACTTTACCAAACATGCTATCCTTCTCCAGTGACTGGTCCCTCCTGTTTGCATCTACCCATCTCAATTCCCAGGTCTTTTAAGGCTGGCATTGTTTTGTTTGGTGAAATCGAAAGAGTGACTTTCAAAATCCACTTTTTAAAATAGCATATCTGTAGGAAAGGACCTACACTCCACAAACTCTGGACATGATTAAAAAGTTTCACTTACTGCATTTGTTAGAATCAGAGAACGAGATAATCAAAGGGAGAGTGAGGCAGGGAGTGGTGTGTGGCCCTTGAAAGCGGTTGCCGTGTGGCCATAGGGAATAGGGAGTGTAAAAAGCTTCTTGCACACATAACCTCATCTATAAAAACCAGAACAACTTGGCATCTCTCAAAGTAACAAATGGATTTAGGGTTGTAGAGATGGGTTGGCAGGAAATGGTCCCCGGGGCTATATTTTCAGACAGTGCATTTCCCTGTAATGCATAGATCATGGATTACAGAACTGAGTTCATGTATCCTTTCTATTTTAGGACTACATTTTTCAGGTTCTGATTTGTCTCACCATAACAGTTTCTGGAGGAGGAAGATAAATATAGATGTTTAAGATAAGGAGAAATAGTATGTTTTGCTTTTGAGGTGCAGGAAAGAGGAAAGGGATTGAAGGAAAGAGAAACAAGGATAGAGGAGAGAGTTGTTGTTGTTGTTAAGTGCCTTCGAGTCGGTTCCGAGAGAGTAGAGGTCTATAATTCTGTTCAGATTCCCCTTCCAACTTTCAAGACTGCTTTTAAATGGTAACTCCAGCTCTATGCACACAATTTATAATTACACATACGTTTGAACTCCCTCTGGGTGTAAAACTGTAAGCATACACCTTACACACAATCAAGCAGAAAGCAAGATTTCCAAACTCTAGCTGATTTGTTTTTGATCCCAGATCCATTTCTCCATTTCCACCAGAGCACTGTATTCCCTGATAGACTAACACAAAAACAAAAATATTTAGGGATAAGAAACCCTTTGCAGATGTTGCAACCAGTGTTTCATTTTAAATGTCCCTTTGCCCAGAATGAACTGGCTGCTCTGCTTTGCTTTTCTCTGTGAAACATGGAGGCATCGGATTCATTTGGTGCCACAGAATCTGTTTACAGAATAAAAAGTATTCATTTCTCATCCTACCTATTAGCAAAAGTAAAATGCCTTCCTTAACTTATCATTGGCCACATGTTGATGTTTGCTGCCCTCTTCCCTACTTATTAAAAAACAATAATGACAAAACAGCTAAACAAAGCAAAGCCTTCCTTACCTGCTGGTAAGAAAGGAACAACACACAGAACTTCATCTTTCCAATCCTGTTAACCATTGCCATTAAAAAAAAAAAAAAAAATCACCGTAGGTCTTAATTTCTGGCACTATGACTCTGGGAGTGAAACAGACACTTAGCAGTGGCCAGGTTGTTAAAGGACATTTAAACCTTTTGATCCCAACCCTTTAAGTCACTGATGTTATTTATACGGGTTGTGGTACTTTCCAAGTAAATGGGGGCATTTATTTATTTTATTATTTTTGTCAGATTTGCATTTTCAATTAAGATGTCTCTAGAAATTTAGTAGTCAACATGTAGTTGTTGCTGTTGTTAATTCCACCAAGTAGATGTTGACTTACGATGACTTCAGATGTGCAGAGTAGAGTTACTTCACAGGGCTCTCAAGGCTGTGACCTTTCAGAAGCAGATGGCCAGGCTTGTCTTTTGATTTACCTCTGGGTGGATTCAAACCACCAATCTCATTACCTTTTGACAAGTAGTCAAGTGCATAAACACTTGTATTTTTGAAATGTTGTAGTGTATCTTTTATATTCTTTAAAATATTTATGATCCACCATAGGATAGCACTGAACTACTAACCCCAATGTGAGGGGCTTAAACCCACCAGCCACTCCTTGGAAACCCTATAGAGGGTTGCTATGAGTCAGAATGGATTCAACAGCACTTAACAATAATTCCATTCATAAGATAAACTGTTCAAGACCTCTTGGGTTATTTTCACAGGCATGGCTTTATAAGTTCTCATTAAACACTGTTCAATTTCTGAGCTCTAAATTTGTCAACTACAGTGCCTGCACTGACCTTATCCTAGTTTTGTAGCCAAGGTTGTATATATACTTCAGGACCTTCCTTGGCTAACTCCTCCAAACCGATTTGCCTGGTTCCGGGCCATAATAAACACTGGTTTACTAACCTCAAATTCAGTAGTTCAATCCCACCAGTCTCATACATGGCCACTGAGTCAGAATAGACTTACTGGTAGTGGTTTTATTTTGTCTTTGTTTTTGGTTTGGGTTAACAAAATTAAAGAGAAGGCTGAGTCTCTTTTAATCTCCCCAATTACTAGAAAACTGGAAATGGCAGACAATGCATCTCATGGTTTAAAAACAATGGTTTACCCCTCCAGGGATTGTTAGCATTATTATGTACTTTCTCACAATTGGTTTTCTTCCCATTTTATAATTATTTATTTATTTATTCATTTATTTTTGAGCAGCATCTTAACCTGGTCTTGCTGACGTTGATCAGGGGAGATACCATCCCTGAAGGCTGGCCAAACCATCTCTTCCTTTCATTAGCAGCTTAACCCTGTTTTCCCGCAGGAGTCCGGCTTGGAAGTGTAATCTTCCCGCGGGGCCCTTTTGTCGTTCTCATCTGGCTCAGAACGCTAAGCTTAAATGAAATATAACTGTAAGAGAGAGAAAAAAAAAAAAAAAGCCTGTTGCCTCCAGACAGCTTCTATGCCTGGGGCTTGGCGATATCTCACTAGTCCCTTGATCTCTAGGTCTCGACCCCACTCTCACCTCTATGGGATCATTGAGTTGAAGAAAGGCTCTCCGATGAGAATTCCTTTGACCTATAACCTCACCGTTGCCTGTTTCCTTCTGCTGCGATGTTCAGAATAACTACCAGGAGACCAGAAACAAAACATTTAAATATTGTATTTATTAAAGAAATCTTAAGTAAGAAAAAAAAAAGTCAAAACGGTGTCACGGATGTCAAGAGCACTTTTGTGGCGTAAAGTGTGCAGTCACGAGCTATGAGTTCTATTCCAGATCTTTACCGAGGTGGCAGCTAGGGTTCCAGCCCCACCAGAAAGACCCAGTTGGAAATACAATAAAAGAAACAATACACACCCCATTCACATTCGCAGGCTCCCTCCCCCACCCACCACCCTTTCTCCCATTATAACAAAATTCTAACCCCCAGGCAGGCAAACAGACTACTAGGGCAATAAAGGACTTATCAAATATTTGTTTTCAAGCAAACAAACAAACAAAATCCCTTAAAACAGCACATTGCAATCAGTCACAAGTATTTATCTCCTCTCCGCGCCAGGGCTGCGGGGAGAGGGGAGGGAGTGGGCAGAAATCCGGACACGGGTTTGTGAGACCCCATTAGGTATGTTGCGGTGGCGTATACGCAGATTAGTTTTCAGTCGCCAGGCTATGGGTGGTGTTGGGTACCCCCTGTCCTCCCTCTCCACCTGTCCCCAGTTCTCGGCCCACCTGCGGGTGGAGAAGAGCCTCCGCCCCGTCGATTTCCCCGCGTCCCACGCCTGCTGCAGTTTCCAAAGTTCTGAGTCCTAACCACCCTCTTTCTAGCCACTTGCTGCAGAGTCTAGAAGTCCCGGCTCTCTGCTTTTTCAACAGCCAGGCGCCTGAACTTTCAGAGGACGAACGAAAAAAACAGTCGCTTCATCCCTAAAGGCTGAAGTCGAGAGAAATAATTGACTCCGACAGGTTTGCTTTGCCCCATTTGGGATCCTAAGGGGCTCAGCCGGGCGGGAGAAGTGGAAAAGCGTGGGAGCGGCTGCCGCGGGGCCTGAAGGCCGGTCAGTAGGGCCCCACGACCACCGCCTCCACCTCCTTAGACGGTCTCCGGTCCTTCACCAGGAAGTTGATCATGCCCTCTGACTTGATGAGCAGGTTGCAGCCCAGGAAGAAGATGCCGAAGACCACGGTGAGCGAAAGCACGCACATGACGGCGATCTGCACTACTCGCATGATGTACAGGCTGCGCTCGTCCGGGCCACCTTCGGCGAAGCCGTCGTCGGTCACCACGGACGCCTGGGTACAGCAGCGCACGGCACGCTCCAGCACCTCGCTGCTGTTAGCCAGGAACAGGCCTGCCACGTCCGTCTGGTTGACCAGAGCCTGATTCATCACGGAAGCTGGCGAGCAGGCGGGCGCTCCGGGTGGCTTAGGTCCGAGGGCTGGGAAGAAGCAGAGCAAGAGGAACAGGTGCCCAGCTAAGAGCTCACTGGCCGACTTGAGCGCTCTAGTCTAGTCTCTCTCTCCTTTCGAAGTCCTCGAACCGTGGGAGTTTTCCAGGAGCCTCTCCGACGCTCGCGGCAACTCGGCTCTTCTGTGCTGTCAGCTCCTGCCCAGGCGGTGCTCCTTCACCAAGGCTTTCGCTTGACTGGGGGCTGTTGGAACTTGGTTGGGCTGGGCCAGCCCGGCCGTGGGAGGTGCGGGCGGCGGCGGTCCTGGTGGCTGCTCTGAGCGAACAGCGGCCTCTTCTGACCACACTGTGGCTCTGCACCTGCTGCCGTTAAGACTTGGAAGAAACAAAGGATGGGACCTAGTCTTGCTTTTCGTGCTTTGCCTCTTTTCCTTCTCCACAGGCCAGACAGAGGTCACTGCACTCTTCTGGTTTGATGGATGATAAAAGAGTTTGGAGAAGGTAGGGGAGGGGGAAGGAGTTGCGGCCAGCTGAAAGTTTCAGAGGAACTGGGTCACACCAGATCTTAGTGTCCTTTGCCTTATACTCTTCTAGCCTTGAATGTATAGGAAGTGGTGAAGAATCACAAGTGTGTCAGATGGTCCTTGCAAATGCACAGGTCCTCCTACCTGTGTCTGACTTATCTCCTGCGTCAAATTTCTAGTGGCGTAGGGTGCGTTGGGAGTTTTTGAAGGAGCTCTGGTAGCCTAGTGGTTACGAATCGGGCTGCGAACCTCAAGGTCAGCAGTTCGAAACTACCAGCCACCCAGCGGGAGAAAAATGAGGCATTCTGCTCCCGTAAAGATTTACAGCCTCAGAAACCCTGTACAGGGTCGCTATGGGTCGGAACCGACTCGACGGCACTTAACAACAACAACAACATATTTTGAGCAGTAAATTTAGGAGGAAAAGGTAGTCTAGATGGAGCGGAAAGAAGATGAGAGGAAATAAGGTAGGGAAGAAAGAAGGTAGGAAAGAAGGCTAAAAAGAGGGAGAGAGAAAGTTGGGAAGAGACACCTCCACCCCTTTACAAAAGCATTTGGGAAATAGCAAGGAAAGTTTTATAGTGATTTGAGAATAAAGAAAGGAGGTTAGAGGAAGGAGGTGTTCTTTGGCCCTGTGTGGAGGTTGTTGCCAGGAACCAGGTCACCTTTCTGATTAGGGAAGGAGAGGTGAACAGAGTGGCCACTTACTTGTAATGTTAATTGCAGATGAATTTTTTAATATCTTCCAAGAGTTTCTGTTTCTTGGCCTAAAATCAATCTAAGAGGATTTCTCATCAACATTTACCATTTTGAACACTGACAGACTGCTGGAAGCCCTCTCCATTTTCTACAATCTATTGCATTTCACCCTCAGTTATTTAAAAACAAATTATATCTGGTAGCGTAGTGGTTACGAATCGGGCTGTGAACCTTAAGGTCAGCAGTTCGAAACTACCAGCTGTTCAACGGGAGAAAGATGAGGCTTTCTGCTCCCGTAAAGATTTACAGCCTCGGAAACCCTGTACAGGGTCACTATGAGTCAGAACTGACTCCAAGGCACATAACAACAACAACAACAACAATAGCTGTTTTAGGGGACTGGTTCAAGCTTCAACCTTTTGTTATGTTTTTGATGGTTTCAATGAAATTTTATAAACTCCTCAGATTTAGGTTTCCCAAGATTTAGAAGACTACTTCAGCATTTTTCTCTTTCCTTCTTAATTTCCTTCCTTCCTTTTCCCCACCTTTCTCCCTTTCTTTATTTCTTTAAGCTGTAACAGGTGGAAACCAGCAACTTGAAGCCAAGTCCAAACTTTAAAAAAAAAAAAAAAATTACTTATTTTTATTAAAACATAGTAGCTGTCTTACCATTTTCAATTCTATTCTCAATTCCTTTCTACTTGCTTGCTCAACCCTCTTAAATGTTAGTCTCCACAAACACTGTTTATTTCATGTTCAGCAATCTCAAATATTTTTGCCCTGCTTCACAACAACCATAAAATAGAATGAACCACCTGTTAGTCAATATTTGCATGCTGTGTGATAGGTTGAATATATATCATCTTCAACCGATTTTTATTGTTTTTTGGTGAGCTGGTGTTTAGTAGCTGACAACTAGGGCTTCTGGGCCTGAATTACAACTGACATGGTGGTTTTTTTTTTCCCCTCTGCTTCTTTGTGATTAGATCAGTTTTGAAGAGTGCCCTATTTCCAACAATTTCTTCTTTAGAAAATATATTATTGGAAATTGATTGGGAAGAATTTCTTAAATCTCACTATAAAATTAATCTATCTTAGCTTTTATGAATGATACCTCAGACTAATAAAAAAATGTATGAGGGGAGTCCAAAAAGTTCATGGAAAAATAGAATTTAAAGATAATGAAGTTTTCCCAAGAACTTTTTGAAGCTTCCTTGTACCTGTGAAAAAAACGGCAGAATTTAAGCTAATACAAAGCAGTCCTAAAACAAATGGGGAAGGCAAGTACTGCAATAGGAATTTAGAAAAGCAAGAGACCCCAGTCTCTAGACCACAGACACACAGCCTTTCTTATTATGTGGGCCTATAGTCCTCAGCAAAGGAGCTCTGGTGGTAGCATACTGGTTATAAATCGAGCTGCTAATCTCAAGGTCACCAGTTCGAAACTACCAGCTGTTCCGAGGGAGAAAGTTGAGGCTTTCTGCTCCCGTAAAGATTTACAGCCTTGGAAACCCAGAACAGGGTCGCTATGAGTCGGAACCGACTCCACGGCACATAACAACAACAACACAGTCCTCAGCTGATCTATCTCTCTGTGCCATCGCCTCTGCCACAGTCTCTGCTGTCACCCCTTTTCTTGCTAGGATCCCATGTTCCACTTATGCTCTTCTCTTTTGATGGGCTTGGGGTCCTCTGTTTCTGAAATGAAAGATTAATGATTCCTCCTTGCATATGTTTTACATTTACAGTTTTGAGAATCACAATTAGTCTTCTTAACAATTTCTCACAATTGAATCATAAACGCCTATCCCCATCCTCCTTCATCTCCTTTCACCAGACCCCTCTGGACAAGAGTAAAACTATTCAGTGGGTATTCTGTCTTTGCCCCTTCATTCTGAAACTAAGCACTCCCATGGAAGTATGTAAGCCAGACACTTTGTACCTTTTATAGCCCCTCATTTTTGATAGCCAATGTCTAAGTTATCCGTCCCTACTGAACTGCAAGGTTGGCAGTTCAAGCTCACCAGCTACTCCTTGAAAACTCTATACAGGGTTGCTATGGGTCAGAACCAACTTGATGGCATTCAACAACAACATCAACCCAGTCCACTGAGTAGGCAAGCTTGATCCTTGATATGAAGAATCCCTTCCTTTCAGTTGGAATTTTGAGCAACTACATCCATAAGGAAAGGTCCAGTTCATCAAATTGTCGCAATTTATGCTTGCTTCCTGTATCAAACTTCTTTATCTTCATCTGGCGAGTTCTAGTCAGCAAGCCATCCAAGCTAGAACCCATGGGTAATATCTTCAAGTTTAGGATTTCTCGCCCATCTTCTCCCACTTCAGATCAGCTAGCCACTTCACTTTCAACTCTAGTCCTAGCGTCCATGGGCTCAGGAGTTCACACGTCTCCCTAAACATCAAACCAGCCAGCCCTTCCTCTTCTTGCTCTCATCTCAAGGTTGACGGTTATTTATGGGATATGGTCAAATTCAGCCATGCCTTCATTGCTGCATTTCTCCCACTTTCATTCACAAGTAAACCACGGTAATCACCAACAAGCATACAAAACTGCTTGTGTGTTCCCTTAGATTTTCAGTCTTAGATGGAGGTGTACCCTGTTGGTCTGACTTTTCTTGCCTTGATGTCTCCAAGGCAAGTGGCTTGTTTGATATTGTAATAGCCTAACAGTTTTTTGCTTTGTGTGTGTGTGTGTGTGTGTGTGTGTGTGTGTGTGTTTTTCTTGCTGGTCATTCTTTCAAGAAGTGTCTTTGTTCCTCCAGTCATTTGGGGTTTGTCTGCATGTCTTTTCAAGTGGAAGTATCCCACCTCAGAAGGTTCTTGGTGGGGCTCAGGATTCTACCTAAAGCCCTTATTCCACAAAGGCTTAGCAAGAAGCTTATTTCCCTTTTAGCTAATCTAATCAGTTATAGGCAGAAGACAGGCTTACAAGCTTTCTGCAATCATATTTCTCAATATTCCTTTCTATCCCACTTAAATGTCTATTTTACAATACTAGGCATGGGAAACAAATATCCAAAAGACACTCAAGCACCTTAACTTAATTATCCCCCACCACTTTACCAATTCCAACTATGTAAGTCCCAGTCATCTATTTTGTGATTTTTGCAATGTTTGATAGTCTATGTATGTCTTCTATTAGTGCCTTTAAGTTTGTCCCTACTTTTTCATTGATGATCTTTATAGTTCTGGAATTTACTTTTATATTTTTAATGTATGTTGAAGTAGTTTTTGTATGTGATGTGAGATATGGGTCTTGTTTCATTCTTTGCAAATCGATTTCAAGTTTTGCCAACACCACTCGCTGAAGAGACTATCTCTTCCCTATTTAATGTATTTTGACTCTTTGCCAAACATCAGTTGACTGAATGTGGATGCATTTACTTATGGGTTCTTAATTCTGTTCCGTTGATCTACCTATCTTACATTGTACCAATATCAGACTATTTTAACCACTGTGGCTATGTAGTAAAATTTTAAATCAGGAATAGTGAAGCCTCCAATTTTGCTATTCTTAAGCACTTTGTTGCTTATCTGAGGTCTTTCTCTTCTATATGGTGTTCATGATTGTTTTATCCATCTCTTTAGAGAATGTTGCTAAAAACTGGATTGGGATTATGTTACATCTGCAGATACCTTTGGGTAATACTGACATTTTCACAATGTTAAGTCTTCCTAGCCAGGAACATGGTGCATTCTTGCATTTTTTGTAAGTCTCTTTTGGTTTATTGTAGTGGTGTTTTGCAGTTTTCTTTGTATAGGTCTTTCATTTCTTTGGTTAGATTTATTCCTAAATATTTCATCCTTTGGACAGCAAGTGTAAATGGTATTATTTTCT